TAGCTCCAAATCGCATATTAATATTAGTAGAGAGTGAATTAAGTAGTTTTATGGCTGCACTTTAACATATATTAACGGTTAAACGATCAATTTTCATTCTCAAACAATTGATTAGTGGTATTATTTTACTTCCTGTAACGTATTGTTCACCACAAATTTCTTTTGTAGCAGCTTCGATAGGATTCATTACTTGTATTATTTCTGTGGCAAGTTGCAGTTTTGAAGCAGTTAACATTGGTGCTTTAGGACATTCCAATAATGCCAAACTAATATTATCCGATAGTTCAATAAATCGTTCTAACATATAATATGTTGAATTCGATCGTGTGGGAACAGATTGAATCAATTTTTTACATTATATTTACGTAACTCATCTGCAGCAACAACAGACTGTTTAAAAAACACAACTAACGTTTTTATTTTTTCACAAAAGGCCTCATTTCGCCATTATCTTTTAATGATACCATTGCAACTAAGTTCAGAATATGAGCAAAACAAGGCAAATGTTTATTCTTCCCAAATATATTATTGACTGCCTTTACAATATTTGCTGCATTATCTGTCACAACAGTAACAACATTATCTGTTTGAATATGTCATTCAGTACATATACTTAAAAGCCACTGTCCAAGATAATCTGAGGTATGCCTTTCACTTAATTCATTCCAATAATTATAGAAGTAAATTTTTTATTGAAGATAAAATGCGTTGTCATTCCTAAATAGCTTCTCGTATTTAATGTGTCCATCCACACATCTGTCGTGAGACACAAGTACTCAACAAAAGATAATTTAACTTTCATTATATTTGAGAGAACTTCATATTTCCTTTCTATTAACGTAATAGTTTTTCTTCCCGGAATCTTATACAGAGATACAGCCGTTTTTGAAATATTTAAAACCCTCTTTCTCTACCGTATTAAAAGATAAATTGTCTTTTGCAATCATATAAAGCAGCGCATTTGTTATTTGTCCACTTTTTGCACCTCTTAACAAAAATCAGTCTTATAAGAATCTTGTTTTTTTCTACAACTTTATTAATGACTTTAAGAGATAAGAACAAAAATAAAAATATATTTTCTTACCTTTAAAGGCTTTTATATTAGATATTGTTTCATCTATTTGTGGCTGAATATTCTTCACTTGCTGAGTATTTTTCTCTTTCTCTTGTTCACACACAGATGATGTAGATATTGATGGAGAATACGTGTAGAACATGACGGTGTAGAACTATGCGATATTGTTGATATCGATGATAATATTACATCCGGGTCGTCTTCAGAGTCATTTAATTCATTAATAATATTTTCCTAAATCAGAAAAGAAATTATTTATTAAAATATATATTAATATTTAAATCATAGAAACATTTTAATACTGCATTTGAATTTAAACTTATTTCACATTGAATTTTCTGCTTCTTGTTATTTTCTTTGTCTTGATTTAACATCTCATGTTTTCTTTTAAGATGATTTTTCAAATTAGTAGTATTTCCACTAGTTTTCACTATTATTTGACACAATTTACATTTGCCACCAGTATCAGTGCGAATAAAATATTTCCAAACAATACTTGTACTTTTAGATGATACTAAAAACTTTTGTAAAACTATTATATTAAATCAAAATTAAATCAGAAAAATAATAGTGACATTTAACAGAATGAAGTTCTTCCTATATGTGATCTTTATCTTCAAATTATTATTAATTTGGGCATTCTGAGTGGTTTTATTTTTGTTATTTACGAAAAGATGATCATGCACAGAAATACATTCAGAGTTTTAAGAGCATGATTTCCGAACACAGCCATTGAAATATATATATATATATATATATATATATATATATACATATATATATATATATATCACTAATATCTTATTTATATCTTACTTCATTCTGTGTTTATTAAATATGTTCATTATTTTGTTAGTCCATTAAAATATTTTCTATTGCTTACTTATTATTCTTTATAATAAATATTTCTGCAAACACACAAAATGAATAATAGACGAATTAAAAGAGACACACATACATACACAAAATGATTAGGATTAGAAATTAGTTTAGTATCTCATACGTTATGCTTATGCAACCACCCGCAATCCATCAAATAAAAACCTTTCCTGTATAGAAAGAAATAACGAGATAAAAGAAAACGAACCACAAGTTCTCAAATCTTTAATTTAAATTTCCATAAAAATATTTGAATATAAGTTAATAGCATGAATGATAAGTTTAGAAATACGCATGCATTTAGAAAAAGTAAAATACAAACCTTTAAGTTTATATAAAACAGTCTTCTAAACTAGTCCGAACAGGACTATGTATGTACAATGTACAAACTTTGTATTGCACCTCTTCAAGTAATAGTAATACGCTAAATTAGATTACATGAAAATTATCTGAAAAATAAATATGCAATATTATATTACACTCAAATCATAACTCAATTCATTTTTTAAATAATTTACAGAAACTAACAAATTATAGCAAAAAGAATGAAAAACTATTAAATTGCTTTACAATTCTAATAAAACATAGGACAATAAACTACAGTAAAAGCAAAGTGAAATACTTATTTGCAGTAATATATTATATACTTTATGTTTAATACTGTTTTTATTATAATCACATAATTTAGATTTAAGAAATTTAGTTTATATTATATTCATATTCCCGCGTTGTATTGTATCGCCCTCAGGGCGTTGCGCGTAATTAGTTTGCTATGATCCCGGGGGAGAGCGCCGAGTGACGAAAGTTCGATAAATGAATCGTAAAAAGTCAGCCATTGTAAAGAAAACATGCAAGGGAATAAAGGCAAATTTTAAGAGCACACTATAGTGAAATTTATGTTAGATAAACCCGTTAACTTGGGAAAGAAAATACTGTACACAAGGTAATTAACATGGTCCTTCGAGCCGGATCATTCGGCAGCACAACAAAATAAGACGATATAGCTCGGCAACAAGGCACATGCTCACGAGAGACACAAAGGAAAAGCATTACAAAGCAAATCAGAAGAGCTCGATAAGTTGCCTTTGCACGGGAATTCGATAAAATATTTACAAATCTCATGACTAGAGGCCTGTCAATAGGCAATGGTAAGAAACATCCCTTTCAGGTAACAATGTTCATTGCATACATATTCGATTTATCACAGTGATTATATTAACATTTGCATAAACATCTATTCTCGATATCAAGATGATCTCAATTTCTACACTGTTTTCTTCGTATCGTTCAAAATAACAGCACAAATATTAATGGATAGCTCATTTAAAAGACTGACTCGATTTGTTACGTTTCTGAATGAATGTGAGAATAACGAGCAAAAACGTCAAAAGATTCCGGTATGACTAGAAGAAATAGAGTTAATGTGGAAAGAATTTGATGAGATATAAAGCGGATTAGAGGACAGTGGAAGGGGAAATCGATAACGGAGAGCGTGAAACCTTCGAAGGCAAATTCTATAATTCTGTCATTAAAGCAAAAGGCATGATTCCACAAGTACATGTTCCCCTCCAGGGAGCGCAACTTCTATTAGCAAATCATCCAATTAACGCAATACAGTCAAACAAAATACGTTTGCTCACCATCGAGATACCAAAGTTTGATGGTACGTAGGAAAAATGGCTGCCGTTTCGCGATAATTTCACATCTATGATACACGACAACGTATCGCTACCTTTAATAGACAAATTACATTATCTCAGGTGGGCACTGGAGGGAGACGCGTACAAATTAATCGAAGTATTAGAAGTAATGAGAATTATCAAATAGCGTGGGAAATTTTACAGAAACATTATAAGGGCAACAAAGTAATCATATAACATCATGTACAAACTTTAATTAATTTTCAAAGAAATCACATTCCTCACTTCGACAGTTAGTTGATATCATCCAGCAGCATATACGCACATTAAAGCGCCTAGAACAACCCGCAGACCAGTGGGACACATTACTCATACAACTATTTGTGCCAAAGTTAGATAGTCATACAAGGCGTGAATGGGAAGCAGAAAGGGCCGACAAGGAAGAACTCCCCAGCATGGAAAACTTCACCACACTTTTAGAAAAGAGATGTTCATTCCTGAACGCCTTAACTCGTACCGCTTCATTCAATATATCTAAAACACGCAAGGACATTCAAAGCAACAAACTGCAAAGCAACATAAGATTGTAAACGCGCATGTAAATACAGAGAATCTTTCTTGCCCGATCTGCAAAAATACACATAAAATATTTGAATGTCTTCTATTTCACGACATGTCAGCTCAAGTGCGGTTAGAAAAGGTCAAGAGTTGTAAATTGTGTTTTAATTGTTTAAAGCCGTTTTATGGCAAGGGATGCAATTACGGATCGTGCAAGAAATGTCACAAACGGCACAACACTCTACTACATATGGATAAAGCTGATTTGAATGTCCCTGCACCCAAAGTAGAGAGTAATAATAACGATTCAAGCGTTTCTTCGGTAGAGCGTGAAGATAAAGTTGAATCAAACAAGAAAAGCGCACATAACGCAACTAATTCTTCATCATCAAATTGTTTGTATGATCCTTCTTTGTATATCTTGTTGTCGACAGCCACAATTAACATTCACGATCATTTTGGAAATTCGAATGTATGTAGAGCATTATTAGACTCAGGCTCACAGCCTAATCTCATGTCAAGGGAATTGTGCAAGCGCTTAAAGCTCAGCAGACCGCTCATGAAGATAGACGGAATCAACGAAGTCTCATTCATCTCGAAGAGTGAAGTACGTGCCGATTTGCTCCAGATTCAACAAGTATGAGGAGACATTAACATTCCTAATCGTCAATAAGATAATCAATAAATTGCCAGCTGTAACCATTGATGTAAATTCTTTTCAAATAGTACCATGCAACCTCAAGCTTGCGGATCCCGCGTTCCACGGGCTAGCCACGTAGCCAGAGGCTATTGATTTAATCATAGGCTCAAAAATCTTTTGGAAATTGCTGTGCATCGAGCAAATTCAAATGGGCAAATCGAAACCCACATTCCAGAAGACAAAACTAGGTTGGATTGTATCAGGACCAGTCAGTCCGGCCATAACAACTAGTAAAGCAGTGTATTGCAATTTAGCATACCAAACAACGTTACAAAAACAATTGGAAAAATTCTGGTTACTCGAGGAATTTCAGAAAAAATACAACTTAACAGTTGAAGACCAAAGCTGTGAAGACCATTTCAACGAGACTCACACCAGAGACAAAGATGGAAGATTCGTTGTACATCTTCCATTGAAAGACAACTATAAGGAGGCGACTTTTATGATATAGCTAAACGTAGACCAAACGCTATGGAGAAAAAATTAAGCAAACACTCCGAGCTGAAGCGGCAGTACGATGCGTTCATGCAAGAATACATAGAATTAGGACACATGAAGCTCATTCAGAACGCGTCAAGCGACAAGCAGGAGTACCCGACATATTATTTACCGCATCACGCAGTTATCAAAGAGGAAAGCGAAACCACAAAACTGCAAGTCGTTTTTGATGCTTCTGCGAAGACAGAATCAGGGATATCGTTAAACGATGTGCAAATGGTGAGCCCCATCATTCAGCAGGACCTCTTCAACATACTGTTACGTTTTCGAGAACATAGATACGCCATCGCTGCTGATATATCAAAGATGTATCGCCAAATACGAGTAATTCCAGAACAGTGTACCCTACAACGCATTCTCTGGAGGTTCGCTCCTGAGCAAGAAATATAAACATACGAGCTTCAAACGGTTACATATTAGGAAGCATGTTCTGCATTCTTAGCCATTTCACCAAGCTGCAATAAGGCTGCAACATAAACTCCCAGAGGCTGCTGAGATCATCAAATGGAGGATTTTTATGTGGACGATCTAGGCGCCAACGATATCGAGAATCTGCTAAGGATAAAAGAAGAAATCACCGAAATACTCCGACTAGCCAAATTCAAGCTACGTAAGTGGAAATCAAACCATTCTTCAATAATTCAGAGCGATGTCAAAACGTCAGTGCAATTTAGTGAAAGCACGAAAATCCTCGGGCAGTTATGGAATACCCAACTCGAAACATTTTGTTATACAATCAGGCCGACAGGGCGACAAGCGAGGCTCACTAAGGGATATATTCTTTCTTGTATATTGCATAGATTTTTGACCCGCTTGATCTTTTGGGACCTGTTACCATACGGGCTAAAATAATCATGCAACAATGATGGCATTCTCAGCTTGCATGGGATGAATCACTTCCAAATCATCTTCATATACAATGGCTGCATTGGTACATGAAGATAGCACACCTCCATCATATAAAAATAACCCGCAGAATTTTATATAATGAACCTTCGTGAATAGAGCTACACGGGTTTTGCGACGCGTCCGAACGAGCTTACGGTGCTTGTATCTATGCTAGAACCACAGATTTCAATCATCAAAATCACGTCACATTGTTGTGTTCAAAAACAGTAGCATCCTTAAAAATCATATCTTTGCCCAGACTAGAACTTTGTGATGCCCTTCTACTATCCAGATTATATCAAAGGGTAATTGAATTTTTAAATTCAGATTTCGATGTGAAACATCTGTGGAGCAACTCTACCATCACCTTAGCATGGATAGCCTGTGAATCTAATCGGTGGCACACTTTCGTGGCTAATCGCACGGCTGAAATTCAGAGACTAGCAGATGCAAAATGGCATCACATTAAATCAGAGCAAAATTCCGCCGACGTTTTGTCACGAGGAATAGACCCGGACGAAATACAAGATCACAAGCTTTGGTGGAACGGACCCCTCTTCCTACAAGAGGACTACAACGAAAGGTTGAGTGATTCGCGACAGCCGCTCAACATCGAAGAGCTGCCAGAAGCAAAGAAACAAGTCGTCACTCTACATGCGGTATAAAATAAGGAGCCAAGTTTCATAAACAAATTTTCTTCATTAAGTCGCCTCAAGCGCACTATAGCCTCAAGTGCACTATAGCCTACTGTTTACGATTTATCCATAACTCTAAGATAAATTCCATACGAAAGGATAGCAAACTTAATGGCCCGTTACAATCAAATGAACTCGAACGCAGCAAGCACGTCGTTTTGGCCATAGCTCAAAACGAAGAATTTTCAGAGGAAATAGCAGTACTATCACGTAAGAAAGAAATATTGTCAAAGAGCAAAATATTATCGCTTCGTCCCTTTCTGGACAAAAACAACCTCTTGAGAGTTGGAGGGCGTTTATAAAGATCACAATTAGATTATCAACAAAGGCATCCTATAATAATTCCGAGAAATCATCATCTTACTCATCTGATTATAAAGGAAGCGCATTTAAAAAATTTACACGCAGGAGCTCAGACACTTCTTGCCATAATCCGCACCCAGTATTGGCCTACGTCAGGGAAAAATGCTATAAAAGGGACTTTACGCAAGTGCATCGTCTGCTATCGCGCCAGCGCAACTCCCGCAGAACAATTGATGGGTAACTTACCCGCATCACGGATAACGCCTTCACCCCCTTTTTCAAAAACCGGAGTAGATTACGCCGGTCCCTTTAGTATCAAAATTAGTCAAAACAAGACAAGGCATATCTGTGCGTCTTTGTATGTTTCACTACTAAAGCTGTTCATCTAGAGATTGTGTCAGACCTAAGTAGCGCGGCATTCTTGAATATGTTAAAGAGATTTATAGTCAGGCGTGGCAAATGCATTAAAATTTATTCGGACAATGGTACAAATTTTGTAGGGGCGAACGCTTTAAAAGAGATGTATAAATTCATTAATGCAAATAGCGCTAAAATATGTGATTATCTTTCAGAAAAATCTATAGCATGGAACTTTATTCCGCCACAATCGCCCCATATGGGAGGTCTGTGGGAGTCAGCCGTCAAAGCTTGTAAGAACCATCTGACAAGGATTGTAGATTCAGCTTTACTGACTTTCGAAGAACTGACCACCCTAGTCGCTCAAATAGAGGCGATACTTAATTCGAGGCTCTTAACGTTATTATCTGCGGACCCTGATGACCTTGAAGTTCTAACACCAGGCCATTTCTTAATTGATCGCCCACTTGTCTCAATTGCCGAAGCGGACATCACAGATGTTAATGTTAACCGACTTAATCGCTATCAACTCCTAGAACAAATGAAGCAAAATTTTTGGAAACGATGGTCAGTAGAATACTTAACCCAGCTCCAGCAACGACACAGGTGAAAGCGAATCCAAAATACAATGCAAGAAGGAGTTATGATACTCTTGCGCGATCAAAATGTTTCCTCTCTGTTAGGCAGAGTCATACGTACGTACCCGGGTAAAGACGGTTTAATCAGAGTCGTCGATGTAAAAACTAACACCGGAATATACCAAAGACCTGTAACCAAGCTTTCTATTTTGCCTCGAGACATAAGCTTTGAAAGTCGCTTTGAAGGTACTTTCAAGGCCGGCAGTATTGTTTAATATTGTTTTTGTTATAATCACAAAATTTAGATTTAAGAAATTTAGTTTATATTATATTCATATTCCCGCGTTGTATTGTGTCGCCCTCAGAGCGTTGCACGTAATTAGTTTGCTATGATCCCGGGAGAGAGCGCCGAGTGAAAGCGTTCGATAAACAAATCGTAAAAAGGTAATAAAAAGTCAGCCATTATAAAGAAAGCATGCAAGGGAATAAAGGCAAATTTTAAGAGCACACTATAGTGAAATTTTGTTAGTTATTAGATAAACCCGTTAACTTGGGAAAGAAAATACCGTACACAAGGTAATTAACACTTTATTTAATGAGATTATCGAATCTTAAGTGTGAAATAAATTATTGCGAATAAGTATTTCGCATTGCTCTTACTGCTATTTATTGTCTTGTCTTAAGTTTTATTATACAATTATAAATATAAGTTAAAAAATATGCTTGTTTTGTAAGAAAGAATGTAAAATACGTACCTTTCATTAGAATACTCTTGAACAAATAGTTGAACAGTTAAAACGTGACTGTGGTAACCGCTATTTCACTATTTTCACGACCGCCTGACCGGATCAAAAAAGTAATGCACTACAAGGAACAAAGAATGAAGAACACGCGTTGTCGCGTCATAGAAATAAAAGGTCGTGCACGACATGCGTAAAGAAAAGAGAAAGAAAGCGACGTGGACACATATACACACCTACACAGAGCCGCACACATAGAGTGGCGGCATGATACCAAACCTACGCTTTGTTCTCTAAACAAACTTGCGCGTTCTTCGCGCCTTTGTTCGATGTGCGCTGTTGACAATCCGCGGATGGGTGGATCTAAAGCCCACCAATGATGTGATTTGCGGATGTGTCGGTGGAAAATTTGAGGACCGCAGTCATCGGCTCAGTCAATCGACTGCTAGACTTACATCGAGCATGTTCTCTAAGCATTGTATCGAGCGTATATCAGAAAATTATATTCAGGCATTGTATCGAGTACATATCGGACACTATATACGAGCGAAGATGGTCACGCGTTGCGACCCGAGTCATTTTAAGGCGTAATCGCGATCCCGAGTGACTCGAGACGTTGTCGCAAGCGATCATACGAACATTGTGATACGAAATAAACTTTATACGAACATTGTGATACGAAATACACTTTATACGAACGTTGTGTTACAAAATAAACTTTATACAAAATAGCAAGGTGAATATTAATAGTTAAAAAATTAACAAAAAAATTTGAAAAGTAGTTTAAGGCTCAATGTATAAAAAATAAATAAATTCAAAAATAATATTACGGGTCGATGAGCCAGAATCATGTGGCGACAAACTAAAAGGTAGCACCTATACGTTATTTTGGCAAGGATGGATAATATAACAGAAATAACGTATGAAAGTGCAAATTTATTAACATAATGTCAAACGTTTCTACCCGTATCGGGCTCTCTTCAGTGTAACAAATTTAATTAAAAAATGGTAGTAAACGATAAAGTTGAGGAGAATCCAAGTTAAAGACATATAAAATAATATACAAAATTCGCAAGTGTGAAATAAGAACAACAGTCTTAGAAAATCTGCGTATGCGTGCAGACAAGGCGCACATAAAAATTATAACAGAGTGTGAGTTGCGTATACAATAATATAATAAGTCTGTAGACATAACGCTCAAAAATTATTACCGTAAATTGAAGAATTAGCATAAGGAAGTCGCTAATATAAAACTTATTACAGAGCTCCAAGAATTGTAACGGATCTGCGTACATGTGTAGATATGATGCTCACCTTCGTTGTTGGAATGTTTACAAGAAAGGACCGTTCCACGAAACGAAAATATGGAAAAAACTCAGGAGATTTCGTCTTCAGATGTAATGAATTATTATATAGTGTAAAATCCTAAGAATCTCCGTAGGCAATCTGTAATAATTATAAACCGAAAGGAGCAACAAGTTTAGCACATATAACCACAGATGTGGTAAAAAAAATACAAAATGAAAGTACAAAAGACATAATATAAAAATAGATATAAAAATAATGTCATAGACTGGTCATTACAATTTTGAAAACAGAGCTAATAATTACAAGACAATTGTATAAAGAAAATAGAGGCAATACAGATTCAAAAATAAAAATTAATGATTGAGAACGATAAATTATAACAGAAAGAGTAAAGAAAAATTATCGTTAAAGCATTCGTATAATAATGATCTCGCAAATAAAATATGCAGAAGGAAGATGGAGACAAAGAAAAATGAAATAACGCTCACCAAAAATGTTACAAAAGATGGTATGGAAGAGCC